TTAACATAGGTTCTCCCTTAACACAGGGAGTTAACACAGGTTAACACAGGTCTAAACCCCCAACACAATGGATATCACACCCATTATCAGGGTTTGATACATGAGGAAATATTTGAGTATAAAACAATTTGTTTCTTTTAATATTTAGGGATTTTCAGTTCTTTTTCAAGTATATGACTTCTATTCATTTGCTAGAAACATGCCACTGTCAGAGAGGAGCTGACTTTTCCATCTTAATTATGAGATAGGACTGTTTTATATCAATTGATACTTACTATCTCTGTAATCCTAGTTAATTCTATGACAGATTAAGTTTTGATACTCTCTTTAAGCATGGTTCATGTTAGTTAAGATATGCTAATAAGAAACTGAACTCTTGGGGGGGCGCCTATGGCTCAAAGGAGTAGGGCGCCAGCCCCATATACTGGAGGCAGTAAGTTCAAATACAGCCCTGGCCAAAAACAAACAAAAAACTGAACTCTTAAAAAATACTTGGTAGAACTGTTAATAAAAAATCTTCAAAATACACGGAGAAAAAATAATAGACCTGTAAGATAAAGACACAATTATAGCTTTCAGTTCCCCTTCTGAATAATTGATAGAAACAGTAGATAGAAAATCAGAATACAAAAGATTTAAACTGTTAATCACCTGGATATGATAGCCATTTATAAAATTCAACAGTAGCAGAACACACATTTTTCTCGAGTGCATATGGGGTATTTAAGATAAGATAGAACAGACTCCTGGTAGCAGTTTAAATAAATTGCAAAATATTCAAGTAATAGAGGGTATGTTCTCTGTCTACAATCCAATTAAATTAGAGGCCAATAACAGAATGATCCCTAGAAAATCCCCAGGCATGTTTTAAGACTAACACACTTCTAAATAAGCCATGTCTTAAAAAAAAAAAATCAGAAAGGGAAATAGTACTAGAAGTGAAATCCTAAGCCTGATAACGACTGTCTGCAAAAACTACAACTGATGTCACACTGAAATGGGGAAGGACAGAATGCTTTCCTTGTCTGCATAAAAAGTCTGATGGAAGGTAGCAATAACAATTAAAAATAAAAGCCAAAACCTGCCAGAACTAAAAAGTCAGCCTATTAAGGTTGCAGAGTACAAAATCAGTGCTCAAAAATAAATTATATCACTAGCAATGAACAAAGTCAAAATTTAAAAAGGCATTGACAACAGTATTAAAAATTGTGAAATATTTACGGGGAAATGTGACAAAATAAGTAAAAAGCCTATATATTAGACAGTACAAAATATTGCTGAAATTAAAGAAGGCCTAAGCCTTTGGAAAGATGTATCTTATTCATTGGTTAGAAGACTCAGTATTGTTATTTGAAGAGACATTTCATCAAAGAAGATATATAGATGGCAAATAGCACATAAACAGATATTCAGCATCTGTAGCTATTAGGAAAATACAAATTAAAAGCCAAATACCACTATACACCTAATAGAATGGCAACACTTAAAAGACTGACTCTAGGCCGGGTGCAGTGGCTCATGCCTATAATCCTAGCACTCTGGGAGGCTGAGGTGGGTGGATTGCTTTAGCTCAGGAGTTCCAGAGCAGCCTGACCAAGAACGAGGCCCCATCTCATAGTACTATAAGTTAGGGTAAAATTGTTTCCAGGGAAAGACAAATGCTTCCAACTCATGAATATAAGACTGATAAATTTGTCTGAAACAAACCAAAAAAAATTTAGAAAAACTAACTGGGCATTATGGCAGTTGCTTTTTGTCCCAGCTACTTGCGAGGCTGAGGCAAGAGGATGAGGTTGCCGTGAGCTAGGCTGATGCCACAGCACTCTACCCAGGGTGCCAGAGTTAGACTCTGTCTCCAAAAAAAAAAAAACAAAAACAAAAAGACTGATACCAAGTACTGGAGAGGATGCGGAAAAACAGGAGCTTTTGTACACTGCTGGTGGGAGTATAAAATGGTACCACTTTGTAAAGTAGTTTGTTTCTTAAATAGTTTTTTAAGAAGCTTTGTAATATGGACCTACTCTACTATTCAACCATTATACTCCCATTTAACTGTAAAAATTAAATACATGCTCATATATAAAGATTTATACACAGATAATCATAGGAGCTTTATTTGTAATGTACAAAAACTGTAGACAGCCCAAGTGCCCCTTGGTAGGTAAATACAAAAATTATAATGTATCATATAATGGAATACTTCTCAGCAATGAAAGGAATGAATTATTGATATGTATAGCAGGGACAAATCACAGAACAATTATGCTGACCTAAAGAGGTGAGACACCACTCTCTCCAGAAAAGAAAGCGAGTAAATACTATATGAGTACATTTATATAAAACTCTAGAAAATGCAGACTAATGTAAGATAACCCAAAGCACATTAGTGGTTGCTTGGGATGGAGAGAGGAGGAAATAAGATATACAAGAGGGAAGAAATTACAAAGCACAGAAAGGAACATTTTGAGAGTAAAAGATAGATTTGCTGTGTAGATGGTGATGGTGGATCTACAGATAAGTTCGAACTTATAAAACCGTACAGTTTACACGAACTTTACATGTCTATTATGTCTCAATGAAGTATTTTTAAATAAAAAAATAAGTTAAGGGCAGTGCCTGTGGCTCAAAGGAGTAGGGTGGTGGCCCCATATACTGGACGTGGCGGATTCAAACCCAGCCCCGGCCAAAAACTGCAAAAAAAAACAAAAGTTAATATTTTTTGTTTCTGACTTTGAAGAAAAACATAAACTATGCTGTTAGCTCTCATTTGTTGAGCTGTTAGTAGATCCGGTACAAGGTGCTTACCTGCACTGTTCTCAGTTAAAGTTTATGACAACTGAGAAGTAAGTGGTGTGGCTGTAAAAGAAATTATAGCTTGGAGAGCTGCCCAACCTCATCAGCCAGGAAGAAGTGAGATCAAGTCTCCAAATCAGGCTTTCTAGCTCCAGTGGTGCGTGGAGGTCCACAGTCTTCCTCAGTGTGACGTGTGTGGCACTGAATCAGGATTTCAACATTACCTGTCCAGGATTTTTACCAACCATGGTTTATTTCTGTGATTGGCTGTTACAGCTCTGTGATTTTGGGATGAGCAGCAGAGATGGTTTTTGCTAAACAAGATAGCTGTATTCTGTTTTTAGTTATTTGGAGACCGTTATTTACTCTGTGTGTGTGTTAGGGCAGTCTGCATGTTAGCCCTGCAGCCCAGTCACTTTCATTGTCAGATAGCATCCTCATGTGTTCCCTGTGTCCTCGTGGCCCCTGACAGGTTGTAATATTACATGCCCCTGATACCAAATTCTGCTTACAATTTTGTGACCAAAAAAAAAAAAAAAAAATTCTGTTATAAAGCTGTTTTCCTCAAGTAATCCACTAGATGGCGGCAGACCCACACTGAACAGAGTTGATCTTCAGCGCAGAAAATGATGAAAAGCCAAAAATGGGACTGTTTTCATTTGTGATGAAACAATAATGTATCTTTTGGGACATGTAGGAAAATGTATTAATACAGACTGCAGTCTGTGACCAGCAATATATCTCTTGCGCTTGCTCATCAGTGTATACAGTTAGATATTTTAACTGTATCTCCTTCCCTATTCATTTCCTCTACTGTTTTACTCAGGGTGTATTGTTAGTAATTACAATACGTTTAGACTTTGTTCCATTAGCTAACGAATAAAGAAGGAATGAACTCACCTGATTTGGCATTGGCTACAGAAATAAAATAGGCCAGTTTTACCTTTGGAAAGTTGTGGCCCTCCTGGTCCTAAGTGCCTCATTTTTTATTGAATCCAAATTGTACATAACAAATCCTTCATTAAAAGGGGTGCAGCAGAGAAAGATGCAGGTTTTCTTGACCTCCTTCCATACTTATAAAAAGAGCAACCTTGAAATCAGAAGGTCCCAGTTTCTCTGTCTATATCAGAGACTATAGTCTATATCTGTAGTCGTAGACTCCTGGACTTTGAGTGTAACATGACTTTTAACTTCCCAGCATTTCATTTTAAAATATTTAAATATTCTAAACCTAAAAAAAAAATAGTATGATGAACCTTGTACCTGGGTTCACCAATTGTTGACATTTTTCAACCTTTGTTTAATACATTTCTCTTTCCATATTCAAATTTCTCTAAACAAGTTTTTTTTTTCTTTTTTTATAATGCTTTCTTTTTCCTGGTTCAGAATCCAGTCAAGTATCATACAGTTCCTTTTGGGTGTTTAGTGTTTTGGGTGCTTGAATTAGTTACTTTAGAAAATTCTCTTGCCTTTGTCATATTTTTTCTTTTGTGACACTGCAATTTGGATAGTCCAGGCCAATTGCCTTGTAGATTTTCCCATGGTCTAGATGAGTTAGATTTCTTCCTCATGATTAGATTCAGGTTAAACATTTTAGCAAGAAAATTATTAATCCTTGGGTCATATTGTGACTTTGTCATTGTATTATGTCAAGAGGTTCACAAGGTCAGTTTGTTCCATTGTTGGTGCTAAGTGATGAAGTTATCTCTTTTATAATAAATGACATCTCTGTGGTGATAATTTGAAGTTGTGTGAGTGTCTTATGTTTTTAGCAACCTTCAGTGATCTTTGTCTGACCCAGTTGCCATATAGATAATTGACAAATGATTGTTAAAATTCTTTTTTTCTCATTTATTAACTATAATTTATTCACTTTATATTCTAATGAAATATGTAATTGTTACAATTATTTTCAACACAGTTTTCATGCCTATTGAGTTAAAGCCTCTGTGCCATTGTATTTTATTTACTATCCTGAGGGAATGGAGAAGAGGACAGTATTTCTGTATTATGTCTGTACTCATAATACAGAAATACTGTCTCACAGTACACAAGTACCACACAATTTCCTCTTGAAAATTAATCTATTTTTATTACTAATTAGATTAAAATAACTTCCCAGTTGCTTGTAGGTATTAGTTTATAACATTATTTCTGTTGCCCTAATAATTATAACAATTAATATTTTAATTTTCTCTTTATAATAGCTGTGGAAATACAAAGAGCTCTGAATCAACTTGGAACACCTCAAGATACACCCGAATTGAGGCAACAGCTGTAAGTATTAAGTAAAAACGAAAGAAAAAAAGAAACCTACTGCTATTATTAATGTTGTTTTGATGGTGTACTGCATAGTATTTATTTACTGCAGGAAACAATGGAAAATTAATAGTTTATCTTCTACCTTATCCATAAATTTGCACCAAGCTTCTTGTAGGTTTTTCCTTGTCCGAAGTAGGCAGGTGTTTTTTTCTTTGTTTTAAAGATCTGGCTTGCTCTATTACAGCAGAATTTTTATAGTCACTTTCTTTATACCTGTTATACTAGTTGTTTCTGACAGCTTTGGAAAAATTGCACTCTCGCGTTTGAATTTATGTGATTTACTTTTTGTAGCTAGCAATCCCTGGAGAGACCAGATTTTTATTTGTTTAGCTCCAATACTTATCCAGTTGTAGGAACTATCTCCCCAAAAGTTTATACCTATTTCCTTGAATTTTAGAAGGCAGTAGCTTCTGTTAAAAAGAAAAAGTAGTTATGATGAAGTTATATAATACATACTCCAGGAAATTAATATGTTATTAGTAGACCAGCAATAATATTTTGTCTATGGTGTGTTAAAAGATTTTACAGAATGTTTTTACATATTTTCTCACCCAGACTATACAAAATTGGAGTGGGATATATGATCAAAAGAACTATTTCATTTTGTTCATAATGGAAACATGTCTCTTGCAGGTTTGACGATTTGCCCAATATCATTTTAAACTTGTTAAATCTTATTTATTTTGGTGCCATTATGGCTATAAATTTAAAGTAATATGTACTTAGGAAGTGGTATTTCCAAATAATAACTATAGTAGAAAAATTGCAAAGAAGAAGAAATTAAAAGGTAATAGGAACTCATATTTTTATAAAATACAATGTGAAGAATTTACAATCATTTCTAATTTATATTGTATTTTTTAAGGTGGATAGATGTCAGGATGATAAAAATGCTCCAAATCTAAATAATAAATCATTTATTAAAATAAAATAGAACAGAAATACACGATTTTTAATAGTTTGACTATTTTGTTAGAGTTAACAGTAAAGATTCTGAATATGTAGACAGGGTCATTAAGAATTTCTTTTTAAAATTTTGTCCTGTAGATACCAAAGGACGACTGTAATTTACTTCTTTTATTGTGTTGTGTTCCCTTTACAAGGAAATGCTATTATCTTTTCCACAGCAAACTTCCAAAGATTTAACAAAAACATATTAAAGAAATGGTATTTCGTAAATAGAGATATAAATAAATAATTATTCTCCCTTATGGGTCAAACATAGATGTCTGTATTGAGGCATATCCTTAGGTAGTATCTTATTATTTTGTTTAAAAATTCTAAATGTGGCCAATCCATATTCAAAATGAGAGGTAACAGATATGAGAGATACTGATATTGTAATTTGTAAAACAGCACATTAATATAAGCTTATTTTTTTTAGTGTTGTATCTTCTAGTTAGAAATGTTACCTTTTACTTTATTAGCTAGCTAAAGTATAACCATACAGTTGGGCCTCTATTTTCATGGTTTATGTATCTTCAATCAATTTGGATCAAAAATATTCAAGAAAAACGAATTTAAAAAGTAAAAAAAATTACAAATTAAACTGAGGGTGAGAATGTGGGCACTTACGGGAAGAGTCATGTCTTTATGTGCTTACATTGCGAGAAATGATTTAATCAGCTCAAAGCCAATATTCAGTTGTCTATTGTAAGTAGGTTAGAAATTAAATTAAGAAAGTTACAGATTTTGGGCAAAGAGAACAGAGACAGGAGAAAAGTAAATCAGAGAAAAGCAGGTACACATTCAGACTACAGGACCTATGCTAGGAAATTCAAAGGCTGTTTACAAGAGTGACAGCTGGAAGTCTGGCCTGTTAAGACAGGAGGACTGTCTTCCTGAAACTTTACCCCCACCCCACCCTGACTCAGCCCCAAGGTCTTTGGGCACCAGGAGGCCATGCTCCCACAGGTGAGACTGATCCCTTGAGGGAGTGATCACAGGAGATTGAAAAAATTAAGGAGAAAAGGCAAAACACGTTAAAATCAACACCAACACTTTGATCTCATAAGAGAGAAAAAGTCTCTCACGTAGGTGAAGGGAAAGTGTCCCTCATCTCCCATTTCTAAATATGACTCAAAACCGGACTGCCCACAAAATGTCCCAGAGACTTAATTACTCATCTTGGGGTTTGTATATATGGTCTAATTGGGGTCAGCCTTGACGTACTACACCTAGACTATGTTCCTGTTTCAAATTTTGCTTCTATTAAGATCAAAAGTAATATAGAATAATAAAAGTAAATCAATACAATTAAGATAATTAGTTAAAAACAATTTAGTTAAAAAGTATAAGCCCAATAAGAACTATGATGTAAGGGTACAACCTCCCCCCATTTAATACATATATAATAAAAACAAAACTAGCCCAGAGCAAAAGGCTAATCCACAGTCCTCACATTTAAAGGTAAACAGTCCTAAAAATTTTTTTAAAATTCTTTAAAAAACTTTCTCTTTGTGTCTTACCTATTCATTTTTCCTTCATCCTCTCATTTCCACCAGCCACTGGGAGGGAATTCACAATACAGTTTGGGGCTGGTCCCCAACATTGACAATATAGTACAACTACTATTTCCATAGCCTTTACATTGTATTAGGTATTATCAGTAATCTAGAGGTAATTTGAAGGATATGGGAGGATGTGCCTAAGTTATCTGCAAATACTATGCCATTTTATATACTTGAGCTATGGAGTTTGATATCCACAGGGGTCCAATTCTTCATAGATAACAAAGGACAACTATAATTTACTTCTTTTATTGTGTTTTGTTCCCTTTACAAGGAGATGCTATTATCTTTTCCACAGCAAACTTAAATAATATAATAGTAAATTTGTACTGTTTTTTTATCTCGTTCCCTTTCTCTCTCTCTCTCTCTTTTTTGTTTGTTTGTTTTTGGTTTTTTTGTGGTTTTGGGCCAGGGCTGGGTTTGAACCCGCCACCTCCTGCATATGGGGCTGGCGCCCTACTCCTTTGAGCCACAGAGCATGTGGGTTGGATTTTAGTGTAGGCTGACACTCCTGAGGATCTGCTGGCAACAGCACAGAATCCTCAACCCCACCCTGTACTGAACACATAACCTGCAGGACACCACCAGGGGGTCAGGAATGTTCAGCAGTTTAAATGTAGATCTGTATCAGACTATCAGTTGACAAAAGTTTTAATTATACTCCAACATCAATGTCCTTGGTATCCTAAGGAAGGGGTCCTCAACTTGGAAGATTGGGAAAGAGTGGGATGATGGCTGCTCAATCTCTGCGCCCTGTAACTGTCCAAAACCTTATAGTATGGAATCATGTCACTTAGCTCTTGGCCTGATTCAAGGAAATGATCCACCAGCTCAGGCTCCCCCAGATGATTCTAAACCAGACCCTCCTTTTAGTCACCTTCTAAAAAGGGAGCAAGGGGTCTATTGCAGCTATTGCTCCTTCCTCTTCTGTGAATAATTTTGCCCAGCCATTTCCTAAATTTGAGAGTTCTGTGGAGAGGTGCTTAGGTAGGGTGACCAGATTTTAACATTTGTAACTTGGGACAACATGGCCAGGGGGCAGGGTGGGGGCCGGGCAGTGGGGCAGGGGACAGGGCAGGGCAGGGCCTGACAACAATGCAAACTTTGATAAGCAGTTCTCAATAATCACTTCTCAACAATTATTTGTTATTATTACAGTTTAACATTATAAAATTAACAAAAATAATATAAAACTCATATTCTGGTGAAATAGCCACATGGCAGCCGAAAACCGTATATTCCCTTCCTGTTCTCCTGCCCATTCGTGCATTCTTTCCAAAAATCAGGACTTTTTAAAAACACCACGGGACGTGGGTCAAATTGTTCAAAAGCGGGACTGTCCTGCCAAAAGCAGGATGTCTGGTCACCCTAGCTTAGGAGAAGGAGCAATGGTGAATGTGTTCAAACTTTTCTCAAGACTTGGCGGCCAGGGACCCCACCATGAGAACCTCTCATTCTTGGTTTTTAAAGAACTTAGAAAGAACATCACTGAGAACAGTTTGCAGAGCACTTTTACTAGGGGTGTAGTATATCATCACTAATGTGTATGAATTGACACTCTGGGACAGGAACATTAAGACTGTTGTATTCCCTGCCCAGTATAGTGTTTGGGTCCAAGAGTTCTAGACTCACTGCTGGATTGTAACTATAGATAATTGTCGTGCAGGAATTCCCGTCAATTTTGACATGCTCACAGAAGATGGTCATTATGCCACCCCCTATGCTGAAGCTAATTGTAACCCCCAAGCGCTTATTCAGAGCTCTCAAGTGGCCTATTGGGCTTGGGCAACAATCCCTGATTTCCAAGTCCCTGTACCCACAGGAAGTGTCCTTACTATGTTTACTGATGAATCTGGGAAAAGTGGTAAAGGAGCGGTCACGTGGAAAAGCCTAGATAAATGAGAACATTCTATGACTACTGACCACTCCACCACAGGACATGCAGAACTTGCTGCTGCCATTTTAGTAATACAGTTGTTCCCCTTATGCCCATTAAATGTTGTGGCAAACTCTGTATGTGTAGTCCATACAGTTCAAGTTATTACTGATGTCCTCATCCATCCATCAAGCTTCTGACAGAAATTTATATGACTTTTTCTTTCCCCCTTCAAAATTGTTTATTAAAAAGAAGGGACCTTTTATTCGCCACTCATGTTTGTTCTCATTCTAATCTCCCTGGTCCTGTTACAGAAAGAAACCACCAATCAGACTCTGTAGTTTTATTTAACGCTACCATGTCTGCTGCCATTTAGTAGCACCAATTCTTCAACCAGGGAGCCACGCATTAACTCTATCTTTTCCGTTTAAATGCTCCCAAACTCAAGACATTTTTCCAGGCCTGTCCAGAATGCCAACAAACATCTGCACCTTTTCCTATGGGAGTTAACCCCTATGGTTTGCAAGCCAATGTTCTTTGGCAAATGGGTTCTACTCATTTCCCTCCTTTTGGGAAGCTTGAATATATTCATGTTTCTGTTGATACTTATTCTGGCATGATTCATGCTGCTTGCCAAACAGGAGAAACTGCCAAACTTGGTAACGTGATGTATTATCTGCAATTGCTACTTTAGGACTCCCTCAACAAATAAAAACAGGCAATGGCCCTACTTATACTTCTCATTCTTTTCTTCTATTTTACCAACAGTGGAAAATTAAACATATAACAGGTATCTCCTATAACCCCACAGGCCAAGCCATTGTAGAATGTTCTCATTCACTTTTAAAGTGCTGATTTATAAAACAAAAGGAGGGGAGTATGAAAGATAAGTTCACGCCACAAGAACAATTACATAAAGTTCCCTTTACTCTTAATTTTTTGAATTCTTCTAAGGAAGACACTATGGCTGCTGAAAGACATTTTACTCCCCCTAACAAGGACCCCCAAACCATTGGTACTTTATAAGGAGCCTCTGGTTGGGGCCGGTGCCATTGTAACCTGGAAGAGGGGTTATGCTATTGTTTTATCGCCAACAGATGCTTTGTGGGTCACAGCCCACCTTATCAAAACTTATCATGAGTTGGCATCAGCTAGAGAAGAATCTACTTCCTGAATTGCAAACCCCCCATCTGGAAACCCCTCCAGGAATTATGCCACAGAGTCAGAAAAGGCCAAAGACCACCAGGATACCTACCACCCAGAAAGCTTCCATCACTTGGGGAAGTTTAAAACATCTCATCAACCGAGCAGTAAACATCTTGGTACAAATAGGGAGGCCTGTAACACCAGAAAATCTTCTTTTTATGCTCACTAACGTTACTACCAATTCTCGGGGTGGAGAGGGAATCTTTATTTTCTTTCTCCTTTTTTTTAGCACAGGTGAATGCTTCCCCTGATCGATATTGGGACCATTTACTTGAATCACCCCTTTCTTCACCTGTTACTTGGTTGGACCCTGAGCCCCCTCTTTCCACCAACAATACAAAAACGACTGGTGGCTTTTGACCACCACTTTTCTGGCTGTTTGTGGGACTGCAGTTCTAAATCTTGTGTCAGTGAAATGTATACCAGTGGATGGCACAAATTAACTCAGGACGGGTCTATGTTAATCGAAGACACACCTTTATGTTTACAAAAGTTTGCATCTGAACTTCCCGCGTACTGTATTCCTTCTAAGCCCCAGTGGTATGTGAATTATATTTATCACAACTCCTGAATTAATGATGTACCACATCAAGTCTTCATTAATGCAGTGGGAGCTGAAGGTGTCCCAGTTTCTAGAAATATTTTCTTTAAACCTTCTATCCCATAGGTAATCATCCTTGGCTTAATGGCCCAGATGCCCCTGCTTTGGATTTAAGTTGGTTTTATTGTTCTTATCCCAGCTTCACCAGAAATTATCTACCAAACAATTAGATATTAGAAAATTGGGGACCCCAGGAACTTCATGTTCTTGAGCCCCATCAACCCTGGGGGTTCTCTTTTCTGTATCATTTGGCCCACAAAGGTTAGAAACTGGCCTGGCTGGCCCACTTTTAAGAATCCCCTTGTCCCTTCCTGTTTAAGGGTCCATTCCCCTTAAAAAAGACACTTGGAGAGCTGCTCTGTCCTTTTTCCTGCCTTTGCTCTGCCAAAGACGTGTTAAGTTCATTTCCTAATCATCCTCTACAATAATTGTTAATGACTCTATGCTGAAGTTATGATTTGCACTTCAAAGCCTTGTACTTTTGCTTTGACCTCTCATACTAATTTACTTCAATTTGTCAAAAAAAATTCCTCTAACTAAAGCATTTCAATTTGACTTTAAAAGCCAACAAAACTTGATTGAGTCCTTGTTTTACTTATTTTAATGTGACACAACTTGATTTAACTCACTTACATATTTTAAGACAACTTGCTAAAACTTGGATTCCAGTCAACCTCACCTGTCTTTGGGTGAAAAATAATGCTTTAGAGCCAATTACTTCAGTTTTGGGAAAACTCCAAGAAGAAATGTTTCCTCAGAGTCCTCATAGCCTCTATAACTGCAGCTACTGCCCTTGCTGTTATACCCACAACCACCACTGTGGTTTCATCTCATTCCATTCAAACAGCCCATCAATTAAATGGCTATCTTCAAAATACTACTTTAGAAGTTCAGTTTTCAGCTACCATTGATCAGGAAATTTTAAAACATTTTAATGTTCTTAAAGCAGCTATCCTTTGGATGGGTGAAAGGCAAAAAGCATTGTAGACTATACAAAAATTAGTACAATGATACCTTGGAGTCTGAGGTTAATCCGTTCCAGAACCCTGTTGGAATTCCAAATGGTTTGAGTTCCAAGACAGTTTTTCCCCCTTTAAATAATAGAAACTGGATTAATCTGTTCCTGGGTCCCACAGCTTGAATTTTCAAAATGATTTCAACAATAAATACACTAGATTTTAAGGTAAAATATTGACAAATAATATTTGAATAAAATATAAATCAATAAAATTAAAAATTTAAAAATATAAAGGCTTGTTTTGTTCCAATTTAACACTTGGTTCAAAACATACCTTCCACTGTTCACAAACTCCTTAAACTCCTTTCCAAACTTTTCTGCTGCTTCTAAATTAGAGCTGGCAGCCTCTCTGTGCATAACAACACTGTGGTTCCCGGTCCTTCTCTTAAACTCCTGAACCGCCCCCTCCTGGCTTTAGACTCCTCCTTTCAGCACTAGTGTCAGGCCTGCCTTTCACTGAATTATCATGGAGGACCTTGGCTTTCTCACAAATCATCATCTCAGAAATCACATCACCAGCCAGCTGTTTTTCCTTAAGCCAAAGTAAGAGGAATTTTTCCATCTCTTCCATACTTTTCAGTCTCCTAGAGGTCGGCATTGTTACCTGTTTTGCCACATCACTGCTTTGATAGCTTCTTTATTTTTCAAAATCACACAAACAGTTGATTTAGGCATCCCAAACACAGTAGCCACACGCGTACTACTTTCATACTTAGTGGTAAGATCTTTCTTCACTTCAATTGTAGCTCTAACAGCTTTTCTCTTACTCTTTTTTTCCTCATGACACTTTTTAGGACCTATGGCAAATACACTTAGCTCATTATATTAAACACACACACACACAAAACAGCACAAAAGCATAAAATGAGCAGCGAAAATCTTGAGCTGCTTTCACTACAGTTTCTGACAATAAACTGAATGACAAAGCACGTGGGTGACCCGAGCGCTGGGGAAATGGACACACAAAAAATGGGAACAATGTTCGGATTCCAAAGCAACATTCGGATTTTGTGCAGAATTTTCTTGAATTCTTCAGTCAGATTCCAAGTTGTTCGAGTTCTGGGGCATTCAGATTCCAGGGGCAGTACTGTATGTGACACTGATATGTGTGTGTCACACCCATCTCATTTAATATTTCTAAAAGTCAGAATTCAGTAAAATTGCACCTTCAAGGCACATTTGAAAGACCTTTAGCTCAAGATTTCTCTGCCATCCAAAGTCAACTTACTGAAGAAGTGAAACAATTGCAAGATGATACCTAGAAACAAACTCTGGACCATCTCAATAATGTCACTAATTGGCTCAATCCCAAAACTTGGTTTTCTGGCCTCAAATTACAAATTTGGATTTTTGCTGCCATCACTTTTCCTTTTGTTCTTATGTTTTCTTATAGTTTTGAATGATATTTGCAAGTTATTGTCCCAAACAGCACACACAGAAACAATGATGGCTCTCCAGTTTTCACAATTCCCAGAACCTCCTATTCCTTAACAAAACCCGCATCTTTCTACTGTTTTTCCTTTCAATAAAATTTAATTGGAATAAAACACAGGGAGGGAGACATGGGTTAGAATTTAATGTTGGCTGACATGAGGATCGGCGGGCAACAGCCTGGATTCCTCAAACGCTGCTCTCTGCTGAACACGGTACCTATAGATCTATGCGTCATATGCTGGAAAAAGGCTCAAGGGTTAAGATAGAGATTAGCAGCATAGAATAGGCAAGTTTATCCTCTAGATATTGTAACTGATTCTTTTTTACTTTATAATCTTACGATAATTTCGTCTGTTTTTTTTTCCATTTTTTCCTCAGTTCACTGACCTTGCCAGATTTGTTTTTTTAGCAGTGTAACTAGAAATTTCTTTCTATCTGTAATCAACTTTGTATGTTCCATATGTTTTGCTTGTGCGCATTTTTCCTGGTTCAATAAAAGACCCTTGAGGTTTTTATTCAGCGTAGTATTTCCTTGCTACCTGCTTTGCCCTTGAAGCCGCTTGCCTCTCCGAACCTCATTGGTTATATTTCTTTGAAAGTAAGTGAGTGTAAGAGTTTACTTTTCACACTGTCCCCTTGTTGTTCCGTGCCTAGGAGCAGAACAACAACAGCACATAGGTGTTCATTTAGAAAAATAAAGGCCAGGTACACCCAAGGCCTGTGAACGAGACAGTCTAAAGCACCAAATCTTTACTTGCTTAGCTGGCCTCCTCAGGTGTGCAATGGAAATAAAAGGTTTCCACAGTGTCAATATCTTAAACATAAAGGATGAGGCATCTACTCACCTCGCAGTTAAGTCTCCTTCTGATTTATCTGTGTCACTAAATGGCTGCTGGTATGCTCAGTTTTTCTATTTATTTCTCTATGTTCTGCTACGCCATGTGAGTGAACAGTCTGCCATGTGATATTGGTTCAATATTTATCAAAGAGTAGGATCTGATAATTTTGTTTTGACAGAGAAGATTTAGAGCCGATCTATGAAAAAGCTATTATTCTAATATTAGGGTTGATTCAAGTGGCAGAGTTGTAGCTTAAAGAAGTGTATTAGTTCTTTGGCTGTAATGTGTGTTTTCTCACTTTAGGCAACAGAAGCAGCAGTATACTAACCAACTTGCCAAAGAAACAGATAAGTACATTAAAGAGTTTGGATCTCTGCCCACCACCCCCAGTGAACAGGTATCAAGCTTTAAGATGCATTTTTGATGTATTGAATGTGAAAGAAATCAAATGCATTGCAGGATCTTTGAACTGTTGTGCTAGAGAGGAAATTAGGGGAGAAAAAATTCTATTAGAGATTAGTTCACAAAATACAAAACTATATTTAATTGCTCAGGTAGTATCCTGTGGTTCAATAAAGCAAAATTATTTCCATGTGGTTGCCCTGACCCATAATTAAGTAAGCTCTCGGAAAATGCTTCCTGAGTAATTGTTTCCTGGCCTTCCGGGCCTGACTGCAGGCAACATGCACACTCATTCAAGATGGAAGGTGTCCCAGGGGCACATATTTATTTCCTTGCTTACTTAATGGAAGTTATTACTTAGGTAAAAGCATAAGGCTTTATTTGCCAAAAGAAAAGAAAAACTACTTTAAAATAACCACAAAATCATGACTCAATTTTTAGCAGCCTAAAAACTTTGAGGTGAGAAATCAGTATTATCGGCCTTTTTTGCCTCAAGGTAAACGCAGTATTTGAACATATTGTCAGAATGTTATTGAGAGTTAATTGGTGAGTCCTGGTAATTGGGGAGTGAGTGACAGTTTCAGGATTTGAACTTCACAGCTTGATTCTAGTAGGTTTTTCTCTCTCTCCTGTAGCGTCAAAGGAAAATACAAAAAGATCGCTTAGTGGCTGAATTTACAACATCACTGACAAACTTCCAAAAAGTCCAGAGGCAAGCTGCTGAGAGAGAGAAAGAGTTTGTTGCTCGAGTAAGAGCCAGTTCCAGAGTATCTGTAAGTATTTGAAAGGTTCATTCTAAAATGAACATGCTGTTTTCTAAGAGTCCCACGAAAGTCTACATTCACATGATTTTTTCTTTAAGTCATAAAGATCTGTGGTTTCTTAGAAATCAGTGTTTGAATATTTAATTGTATTATTTACATATTTTTTATTTTGTTAAGTAGGGTGATGATTATGTATTACTGTGATTATTTTGTCCATCTTGTAGAACTAAAGATTACACAGAAGTATAGAGACATATTTTGTCAAAAATGATTAGAGATCAAATCCTGAGTAGTGTCTTCACCTTGACTTGGCACTGAGTCTTCCCCTTTGTGTACGTGCCGGTCTAGAGTGCACTTTGCTCCTGGATTACATGGTGGTGTTGGAGATGAACAAACAGAGCAAATAAATTTTATGAATTTAACCTCAAAACATGACCCACTTTCAAAAATGAACTTAAGCCTAGAGGAAGTAAATGAAAGAGAGATTTACAATGGAATCTTGAATTAATCTAATTTTAAATTCCCCTAGAAACTATCACAAGTTGTTTCCTTATTCCTTAACATAGGGATTTGAAAACTAGCCAGGCATGGTGGTGCATGCCTGTAGTCATAGCTTCTCAGGAGGCTGAGGTAGGACAATCGCTTGACTAGGCATTTGAGACCAGCTTGGGCAACATAATAAGATCCTGTCTCTGGGGCTGTGCCTGTGGCTCAAGAGGGTAGGGCACCGGTCCCATAAGCCGGAGGTGGTGGGTTCAAACCCAGCACCGGCCAAAAACTGGAAAAAACAAAAACAAAAACATACTGTCTCAAAAAAATAAAATAAATTGATCTGTGAAGACCACACTAAGTTTTAACCCAATAATATTTTTTTATTTGACCCTTGAGAATATTTAATGAAGTCCTTCCTTGTGAGTTTAGGTTATAAAAATATACAATTTTATATCCTAAAAAATTATATAATTATATTGCTACTTGAAGCAGTTGACCTAAAAACTAGAACAAGAACTTCCCACTTTCTCTACACAACATATATATATACACATGTGCACAAATTCGTTTAAATTATTGTAAAGGAAAATGTCAGCGTTATTAATTTTTCTTATTTTTGCTTTCTTTGCCCCTTGTCAACCAACCCGATTATTTATTAAATTATTCAGGGTGGTTTTCCTGAAGAGAGCTCAAAAGAAAGGAATCTCGTATCCTGGGAAAGGTAAGAAACACAAAGCATTTTGCAGATTAAAAGATCGTTTTTCAAATCTTATATAGTATAGTCCCTGCAATAGAATTAAAGCTGTCAGTTTATTATATCACAAATATCCTAAGTTACTTATGAATTGAAAACAGATAGTAAATGGAAAGCTTTTCAAAATGATTATTAAGTATTTATTATAAAATACATAAATTATCCAAATAAATATTTACCGACTTAATTTTTAACAGATTATTCCCTTACGTGAGGTTTAAGTCAGCTAAGATGTAATATTCAGTTGCCAAATATAGCTTCCAAAAATTAAATAAAATCTCTAAACCCATTTGAGATAAAATAATATAAGAGGAATGAAAAATAAAATAAAATTTGGTTAACATTATCTATTATGTTCTTAGTTAAGTGAGCAGTTCTGTGAGTTTGATGAACAAAACGTATCCTACTTAGCGAATGTATCTTAAACAGGAAATGTGTCTCCTTGTTTTGAATACCAGTCTTTGTTTTTTCCATATTCTTTTCTTTCTGTTAGCCAAACTCAACCTCAAGTACAGCTGCAGGATGAAGAAATCACAGAAGATGACCTCCGCCTTATTCATGAGAGAGAGTCTTCCATCAGGCAACTTGAAGTAAGCCTTACTATAATTGTAGAGTTGGGCTGCTGCTCTGTTCTTAGTGAGTTTGTTCTTAAGATACTCAGATCATGTTGGGAGGCAGGTTGAGAAAGAAAGCTAAATAAATGTATAAATTTGGTGGTATTTTTATTTAGGCTAGGATGAGAGAACATGCTTTCCTCTACCCCAACTTTTTGAAATTCTATTAAGTCACCTACATGTCACCTTAGTATTAAAAAAATATTAGTCTACAAAAATACATCTCTCTGGAGAGTCTGGAGTCTTCCCATGGCACATGGTACACACCATACTTGCATAAATAAGAATTTTTACAAAGGCTTTAAAAGTATTTTATTTTTCTTTATTATATTTATGACATCAAAGAGATTTAGAGGATTTATTAAGTCATAGTTCTTATGGAACCCACTTAGTTCCTAGAAGGTGGCCTTCAGCTAACAATGACTGAAGTTTATTTAAGGACCTTCCACATACTAACTAGGTGCTATGTGACAGATTGTTTATGTTCTCCATCTCATTTTGACATCCTCATAGAAACTCTGTGACATAGTTAACTCTGTCACTCTCATTGCCCTTTTACAGATGGGGAAACAGATGGATTCCAAGATTGCACTACATTTGAACCAAATAATATTTGTTTTTTATTATTTGACCCTTGAAAAAATTTAATGAATTTCTTCCTTGGCAATTTATGATTCTAAATACTGTATAATTACATTTTTACTTAAAGCAATTTACCTAAAAAATTAGAATAAGGACTTGACACTTGATGATTATGTAAATTTCCTCATCCACCTGAATAAAATATTTAAGCTTTTCTCTTTAATCGAGCAAAATAATAGTTAATTACAGAAGAAAAGCAAATATGTAACTTCTTTATCCAATAAATTTATAATTTATTTAACCAGGAAGGACATTTATAACTTCAGTAATCCATTGCATGTTCAAATTTGTTAATGTGAGATTTTAAATTTATACTTAAACATTTTATTCTTTTATTTTTATTTGTTTTATTAACCATTTTGAGAGCGTCAGATGTTTTATTCTTTTGAATTAGCAAGTCTATGTATAAATTTTTACTGGAAATATGTCATAAAATAGTTAATGCTCTTGTAACCAAATACTGCTTGTCATAACAAAGATTAGATTGCATAAAATAAACTTAGTCAACCATGGCCCTTCTCTATTATATGTCTTGTATTTCCATCCTACCTCGTTCGATATGTTTAATATCACAGATGTTTTGGAGAAACTGGTGGTGGTTCAAAGTTTTTTTTTAAATTAGGATTGCTCTTTTTGTAAAATATTTTTGTGATATTTACAAAATTTGTGTGTTAAATCTAGATTTATGCTTACCTATATGTAAGTGGTGGATTGGGGATTTTTAATTTTCCCTTTTTGTGGAATGTCCTATTATAATAATATATGCCTTCATATAATGTATGCCTTTTTCTCTTAGGCCGATATTATGGATATTAATGAAATATTTAAAGATTTGGGAATGATGATACATGAACAAGGAGATGTGATAGGTAAGACCTGCTGATGAGATTTTGTGAGGTGGGAACAAACAAAAAAATGTGTGAAAAAATTCCTCTTTTTCTTTGTGTTTCTCTGGAATCAAAAGTCTCTACAGCAGACAAAGCATCGCCCTTGGCATTTGCTAAAACAGATATCATTTTTGGCTTTTACTGGCTGAAATGACCTCATGTACTTCAGCAACCCAAATTTAATTAGGACCTGCCATTGCTAGATCATGGAAGGCACCATGTAATGTCCTCCAGCTTATTTCCAAGGGCCTCTGGTTTCAATCTTACTTTAATCTAATTCTCATCATACCAAGGACTTTGGGGGAACTGGTGATGTTTATAACTGTGTATGCTACCTTTTTTGTTTGTTTTGTTTTGAGACTGAGTCTCACTGTGTTGCCCTCGGTAGAGTGCCATGGTGTCACAGCTCACAGCAACCTCAAACTTTTGGGCTCAAATGATTCTCTTGCCTCAGCCTCCCTATTAGCTGGGACTATATGTGCCCACCACAATGCCTGGCTATTTTTTTGTTTGTTTGTTTAGCAGGTCCAGGCTGGGTTTGAACCCACCAGCCCCACTGCACATGGCCGGTGCTCTGACTGCTGAGCTATAGGCACCAAGCCAACTCTGTATAGTATCTTGTCTTTTAGGTTATAAGGAATAGGTAGCTGTTTGCCTGATCATTTATTTTAACAGCCTTTTTTGTAGAGTAATTTAGTAATATTACTTAGATAGATGTTAGGAGTTCTTTTAAAAAAAGAGTTGCTAAGAATCCCTTCAAGGTTTGAATGTAATAGTTCTCCAATTAAGATGTAATTGTCAGTGTTGGTCAGGATCCTGATCATTTTTAAATCTGGAGCTATCTGTGGATATGTTTAAAGGTATTGGGGATTCACCTTAAATTAAACAACAGGTAAAAGACCCTGCTTTCATGAATCTTACAACTGGGGGAAAAAGACAAGTTTTTTTAAAAAGAAAGAAAAACAAACAAATGGTGACAAGTCATATGAAGGAAGTAAGGCCACTAAGGGGGCTGGGATTGCTGGGGAAAGAGAATGTTCCTGCTTTATGCAGGGTAGTCAGGTAAGGGTTACTGATACTGATAGGTGACATTTTCATGAAGCCTTCCTAGAAGTAAGGGAGCAAGTAAGAGAGCAGCAGGTGCAAAGGCCTCTGAGGCAGAAGCACACCTGACATTTTTGTTGAGTGACAAGAGCAAGAGAATGGTGGAGAATCATGTCCAAAGTCATAGCAGATGGCATTTATGTAGGAGCCTGAGCCACTGTAAGGAGTTTTAATATATTTTTAATAATGGGCAGGAAGCCACAGGAGGCTTTGTGCAGGATTTGTTTTGTAACTTGGCTTAGATTTCAAAGGACTCACTTGGTTGCTGGAATAAGACCAAAAGCAAGGAGACCACTTAAAAGGCTATTTGCAGTCATCCAGGTTAGCATCCCGTTGGCCTGGATCAGGGTAGAAGCAGAGAGGTGGTGAGTAGTGCTGAATTCTGGGCATTTATAAAATACAGAGCCAGAAAGATTTACTGAATGGCTGGGTGTGGTATTAATTCAAGGGTGAGCCTGGTTTTGCCTTCACCCATTAACATGGTTAGAGTCACTGTTTTCTAAGTTGGGGGAAATGTGTAAGGGAAACCAGTGGAACCAATGTGTAAGTGGAACCATCAACAATTTTTGGATATGTTAAGTTCAAGGTATACACTGATACCAAGTAAAGGTTTGCCAGGTGTAAAGTCAACCTGGAGTCTGGGCGGGAGATATAAATTTAGGGGTCATCTGCACATAGATAGTATTTAAAGCCATGTGATTGGATGAGGTCACAGGAAGTTAGTCTAGATAGAAAACAGGAGTCTAAGAATTTAGCCCTAGATCCTATGAATCATAGAGCAGGGTTGGCAAACAGCATCCATTCATTTATGTGTAAGTGTTGTCTGGCATAGTTGAGTACTGTGACAGAGATCATATGCCTTAAGTTTATAAAGCTTAAACTATTTACTGTCTGGCCCTTTGCAGAAAAAGTTTGTTGACCCCTGATTTAGAGCCCAGAGAGCTGAGGAAGAATCAGTAAAAAAGACTAAAAAAATTTTTTTAACCATTGGCGTAGAGGAAAATCAAGTGAATGCATTCAGCCTGGAACATGGCTGAAGAAAGTGCTTTAAGAACGATGGATAATCAGCCTGTTTGAAATGCTGCTGGCAGGTCAAGTGAAATGAAGGTTAAGAATTGACTGCTGGATTTAATGATGTGGGGTATAGGCAACCCTGGCAAGAGCTGTGTTGGTGAAATAGTATAGGCAAAAGCATGAAGAGTGAGTTCAGGAGAGATGAGGAGGAGAGCAGCAGAAGCTACCAAGTATAAATGACTCTTTGAAGGAGTCAGGAGGAGAAGTGGAACAAAGAGTGAGTCATACATAGCTGCAAAAATTAATGCAGAAAAAATGAAACGTTATTTGTTTGTTTTTAAGATGGCAGCTGTGGGGTTAACAAGATTGATTTACTAGGGAAAGAAATATGACCAGTAGTGAGAGATAGGAAGTTCTCTGGACGGAGGCCCTGAGTTGAGTTGTGAGGAATGGGGTAACATGCATAGTACACAGTGGAGAGGCTGCTTGCTCGGGGCATGACAGTTTCTCCCTGACAACGAGAGAGACAGTGCCTGCAGGTGGTAGACAGGATCACAAAACATGTAGAAATGTCTTCTGATTGTTCGTGTTGCCTCAACAAGCTGGAAATCAGGGTCCCTGTCTTGAGGATAATGCCTAAGGAGGCATGGGAAGTTTGAAGAGAGAGGAGAGGGAGAGAAATGAAGTTGGCAATCATGACAACAGCCAGTGGCAGTTGACTGCCATTGCTGGTCAGTCATGACTTGAAAGAGAAATAGATTAGAAATAGCGTTAAAGTTAGTCCTTTTTTGTGTGTGATCTTCTGCACGGGTACCGGCTAGGGTTTTGTCACATGAGTATGACTGAGGTAGAGGGGGAGGGGAGCTGAGGATGAATGTGATGCTGAAGGATCACCCAGGAATCTCAGCCAGGTGAGGAGGGAAATAAGGACACACTGTATGTGAAGGACAGTGCCAGAATGGGAGGATCACTGAAGGTCAGAAATTGCTGGAGTCGGGACATTAGGAGGAGTGAGCTGCAAAGGTGACAGTTGGGGTGAGACTCCCGGCATTGAGATTAGGGAGCAGCTATAGTTATTGGTTGGGGGATGAGACCGTGGAAGTGAGGGGCTGAGGAAGGATAGTGCACATCGTTTTTGAAAAAAGTTTGGTCAGGGAATTGAGAAGCCAGAATTTAGAAGGGTCAGCCCCTGCACATTGAAATCGCCAATGAGTATGTTAAGAGAAGTGTTGAAGAGAGCAGCTGTGAGTCAGCGGCTGAACTGTTGGAAGAACGAGAAGAGACCGTTAGATCGATAGGTGTCTGCAGCAAGGTGGAGTGGCTGAGTTTGATCGCATGAGCTTTGACACTGAGGGTTGATAGGGAAGACACAAGGGTCTCTCATGCTGCAGAGTGACACCCATTCCACCTCCAGGTTAGAGGAGTGTGGGAAGAAAAACTGCCATCACTAGAGAAGGCTGGCTGGCCCTTCAGTGAGGGCTGGCTTTCAGCATAGAAGTAGGTTGATGGTGGCCGCAGAGCAAGTGGTTTTCACTGCTCTGTATTTACCCTGAGTAAAAGTTGTCAGATGCTTGGTGCTCAGTCGGCCATTATAGAAAACCTGGGTAGAACATAGGTATCATGACAGGTAACTGAAGATCACTAGGGACTGACAGGACAATTTGATAGCTAAATATTTATACTATATATAAAGAAATAAAATGGACCAAATTTTGGTATTTGGGTCATTTTTTAGTTTCCCTCTGAGGAAACAGCAATCTTTGAAAAGTCAAGGTGCCATTTTTGACCCCTTTGTGATGAAGAAAATCCTCAGTCATGGGAAGAAGACTGATGTGTTTTGCATGAAGCAGCTGCGGCGTTTGAGGCTGAGACAGGCCCTTGTGCTGACACTGGTTTGGTAACTGCAGGGTGGCAGTACTTTTCTTGGGTTGCCAGGTAGAACTGGGGTTGCACTGTAATGAAGATGATCAAGGTTCTTTTCTTCAAATGTTTGTGTGTTGCTTAAATTACCTAAGAAATAATATAAGGATGAACTATAGTTGGCTTAAAATACATTCAACTTTGGTCTACTCCTATGCTTTGAGCAATGAGCACGTTTAATCTTCTCTTGAATGAAATGTAGTGATTTGTTACTGGAGCCTCAATGCATGTTTAAAGTTTTTTGTGTGTATGTGTTTTATCTTAAAGACAGCATAGAAGCCAATGTAGAAAGTGCCGAGGTCCAAGTTCAGCAAGCCAACCAGCAGCTATCACGGGCAGCAGAATATCAGGTAATATTAACTGTAATAAAATTTCCTATAACTTGGTCTGACAGGTGAGTGAGAGAGGGAGGAGAGAAAGAGAATGAATGAGATGGTGAAGTAATCACTTCTAAGAGGAGTCAGAAATATTCCAGTTCAGACTGAAAGTAGCCTGTCTATTCTCAGGATTGAACTGGGAGTAAGCGGCCCCGAGGGAGAGAAGTTTGTTGATTGAGTTACAGTGGAGAACTGGAAGCTTTCTGAGGGCTGGTGGTTTCCAGTATCCTTGTGACATTTCTACTCAGAAACTTCTCAATAGGCTTCTCCCTCCAGTTCTCGCTGTTCCTTTTACCTTTTCTTTCTTTTTGTAAGTGGCATTCTGAGATAAAGAGGCAAAAAGTCTTGTCTTAGAGGTCTTCAGGTCTTGTGGAAATCACGGCAGCTTTGAGTGTCATTATTCATTGTATATTCTGTTAACATTCAGCAGACCTACACCAGGAATGAATTGCTTTCTTAAGTGAAGCGTTAATACAGGGGTCCATATGTGTGTGTCAAATACTATACAAATATTAGAATCATATGCAGGCCCTGAAGCCCAGTTCTCTGGGATCCCCTAAATAATGGGTAGCATCTGATTTTCCTTTTAAAGCATCATTTTTTTGTTGTTGATGATTATCATTTTTCTTAGACCTTATTAATTTATATTGTCACTTTTTTAGATATTTTCAATTGCTTTCCCTTTTTCTCACTTTAGAAGTTGCCTTTCGGGCGGTGCCTGTGGCTCAAAGGAGTAGGGCCCCGGCCCATTATGCCGGAGGTGGTGGGTTCAAACCTAGCCCTGGCCAAAAAAAAAAAAAATTGCCTTTCCTTTTACAGCTCTTTTATACTATAGAGCAGTAGACAAATGACTGCATATTCAGGATATGTAAATAACGGGAAAGCTGTGTGGAGACTCCTGATTTATAACCAGTAGTATTCACTGACAGAGTGACTCCCGTTTACCATATTTGTGCAGATAATTCAGATATGCAGCTCCACAGAATTGATATCACCATGCCATGGATTTTAGATGTCTTTCATGAATAGTTGAGAACACACTTGCACGTGTGTGTGTGTGTGTGTGTGTGTGCATACACATACGGTAATGTGTAAACGTCAGCAGTTTTGTGGAGCAGTTAGCATGTAACTGCTGAAACTTTGTGTTTAATGGGATTTGTCACTGCCTTCGTTCATATATCATTTTTGTTTTACTTTTGGATTTTTGGAGGGATGTAGATGTATCGCCACATTTTACTTTTGACTTCCTTGTGGAGCTACCCCCAAATTTAATTCCTTCAGGCCTTGAAGGGTGAGGAGAGGCCATGTTACCAAATGCTGAGAAAACAGGCAGCTTTCTGGTAGTTTTACATGGAATCCTGGGTATGGTTGGGTGGACCATGAGCGTAAAGGAAGGTGAATGCTCTTGTCCCTGCAGCCTTGAGCATGTCATTATCCCACACTAGGAAGAGGTGTCCCCCTCCCCTCCCCGCCCTCAGCAAATACACCCCATCATAACTCAGAAAGGTGCATAATAACCAGGGGGAGGGTGGGTAGGGGGCATTTATGCACAACAATATTGAAATATTAGAGAAGTTGTGTTTAATACTTGTAAAGTCTTCAGTTGAAAAGTCAGGTGAATATGGGGAATACTGAAAGTACTCATAGTTTTCAAGGTAACTTCAGACTCAGAAGGTAACTTTTTATAAATTTCAGGGTGCTTCTAATTGCCACAAAGTAAATTTACAAATTTTTCTACTTTGTAAGAAAAAGGATACCTGCATGTTAGATGTGAAACACACAAGATGCTAAAGACATACGGGGCTCGGCACCTGTGGCTCAAGTGGCTAAGGCGCCAGCCACATACACCTAAGGTGGTGGGTTCGAATCCAGCCCAGACCTGCCAAACAACAATAATGACTGCAACCAAAAAATACCCGGTGTTGTGGCGGGCACCTGTGGTCCCAGCTACTTGGGAGGTGGAGGCAGGAGA